TTAATATATGGGATAAGTCGACACTTCTTACAAAAAATATCATTAACTATTACGATTTTATTCAAACAGTCACTAAACACATTAGCTTCTTCTTCATTCTTTATAATTTTTTTATAACCAGGAATCTTACACAGGTACTTGTTACAATTTTTACACTTTCTCGACATTATTACATAATAATGATTTGGTTCGATAGTTAATAATTTCAATATGCTGATACAAAATAACTATGACAGAATTTGAGTCCCAAACTGCCTTCTTGTGTAATACAAATGACTGCTACTTTAGCTAAACAAACGATGCAGTAAACAGCTCGATAACAAGTTCGAACTTGTTTGTTTATACACTCACACTACAAGGCGCGAATCACATATAATTTTTTTTCGTTGTGTTGCACCAACTTTTTTTTCACGCAATTTTTATGGGTAATAGAGCACACAAAGGAGCATAACATATATTAATTTCGTGATTGTAAGTCACAGAGAACTCAGAAAAAAAACATGTTTTTTTTTATTTTTATTTTTTTAATGTAATTTTTTAATCTAAAAATTATAAAAAAATATATGTGATATACTCTGTAATGTAACCTAACACCTCGCGTTAGTTTCACTTTTTTATCTTAATTAGCTTCAGAGATATATCACATTCAGTAATAGTCAAGCATACGGATATTTTGCTCTCTATCTCAAGGTCAAAGCGGAAGTCGGTCGCGAAAAGTACATAAATCGTGTTTGAACATCAAGTCTATATTAAAACATAAGTTTCAATATCGATTCCCATTTGGGGGCCGATTCGTCATACGTATCCGGCTAAACCCTTTGTATCTTGTTTCTGCATACTGATAAAATTTAAATTTAACCAATGTTTTACTTTATATTTAATCCCGTTATTTCAGAAGAAAGTGATCTTAAAACATTAGATCGGACCACAACTGAAATTGAGTTAACATCACCCAATATTTCATTAATTCATAATGAATTAGATTGCAAAAACAAGACGCTATCAAATAGAAGATGGTTGGAGATTAAAAGTAAGTTTTATGCTCACAATGATAAAGCATTGTATTTTTGCTTGATTAAAAAAAATCCTGACCCTTATTTTTAATTTGTTACACTAGTTTGTGATTAAAGAAATATTAAAATATATGCGTTAAGTCAATAATTTATTTAAGTTTTATATTTAGTCCAATGACTATGACTAACAGAATGTAAGGTTGTAAAAGTCACAATTATACTATTTTTATAACAAAACTAATTATTTTATATTCTTTCCTGTTAGTTATAACAAATAATGTGTATGTGTTATAACATTTAATAATAAATTAAACTATTTTTTATTCGTATTAAAAAAACATTATTTGTGATATATCATTACACTCAATATTTTTTAAAGTTTTGTGTCAATTAGTTTTGTGTTATTTAAGTTAATTAAATATGAATTCGAAAAAAATATTTCTATTGCTAAGAGAAAGGTCTTCCTTAAATCAATATCCAAATCCGAAGAAAACATTATATGCACTTTTTTGGTTATCACATTATATTATCTATCTATCAGAACTAAGGTTGCAACCGTACTAAGATACTACTATATTTCAGGGATGCGACCTAATACCCTAGCCTGCTAGCTTGATCATTTGAGCGCGTGCGCACGCTTCGTTAATAAAGTACATACATTCGCTAAGAAATTGTATCCTATTATATAGAGCTATAGCTAAATGTGTATGCGGTCTTTCTGAAGGTTTATAAAGTGCTAATGTATGTAAAACCTAGTATAATATCTGGGCATTTATGTGGGGTAGCGTCCTATAAACTTTTAGAAAATTGTGGTGGCTATGAATGTGTTTAACTGTATATGTACGTAATAAATAACATTAAAAGCTTTACGCATTTTCGTTCAATACAACATTTTGTATAGTATATATAAAATATATATTTTTTGCTTTCAGGGGATAAAATTGCAAGAATTTATAACGACACCAATACCCTAAACATATCAATACCCTGTGAACTGAACAATACTCGGTTTATTTGCATAGGGTACGAATTAAATAAACATCATAAGGTTATGTCACGGAGGATAGAAAAAAATATACATATCGTTATGAGGAACTACAGCCAGAATAATATTACAAATACCGGTAATTTACTTTATTTGATAAACACAAACAATATATATCCAGGGCCCGATCCAGTCGTTTAGGTTTGAGATACATTTAGCAGTATTTATCACATTTTTTCGTCGCCCTATCTTTTTCTGACTCAGAACCGCCGTATTTTACAATTTGATGTAGGTAGAATAAATATTACAACTAATCATTTGTTTCAGAATTTTTACAAAGTACTATCCAAAAAGGTTCTGAAAAAAATGGCAAGTATTTAAACTTTATATATATGTATTTAGTTTTCAATTGCTATTGAAGTCGGCTTTTCTTTTAATTAATAACCTACAGAAAACTTATACTTTAGGAGAATTTTCTTGAATAAGTCGCTTTTGAGCTAAGTATTATTTTTCACTTTTCGAATCGAATTCTCAAAGTTCGAATCGGCTCTGTTTTTTTGTGTTTTTATTTTAGCTATCAAGATTATTTGGATGTTATTTCTTGACAGAAAATCAGTTTAAAAATTATCATGCATTCTTTATCTTCGATTTTAATCGGTTAATAAAAAAAAAAAAAAAAATGTTTATACTTACAATAACGTACACAATATTAAAATTTAAGCATTGATCAAAACATTTTACCTGTAAATCGCTTTAAAGCACCTAACTCTATAAATAATGTGTACGATAATCATATATTTATTATATTTTCAGATTTTCCGATTTTCAATTTCAAAATAAAGCTTACAATAGCTGGTCTGTTAAGTGGAGTCATAACACTAATTGTTTTAATTTTTTGCTACTGCACTCGTCGGGACAGTCGCATAACACCACAAAAAACAGAGACATACGTATGTTTTATAAGTAACATTATTTAAGATTTTTTTTTTATTACTATGAACTAATATTAAGAAAAATATCTATCCTAAAATCCATATGTCTACCCTTAAAATGTTAAATTACTAACGCCATCTGTGGACGTGACGCTCCACCTTAATACATTTAAATTAAAGTGTGGTCCCATAGGGCCCATGGGGAAAATAGGTGTGTGTACTAATGAAGAAGTATTTAAAAAAAGCGAAGGCGCTAAAAAGAACCTCCACTAGATGGCGACTCTATAAAAAAGTTGATTTTTGCAGGAAACGAATGGACTGAAACGAAAAGACAGTCGTTTCCGTTCCTTTTAACTAACATATTAAAAAACTGAAATTTGAAAAGTTCGAAACTTAGATATTAATACAAATACGAAAAATTACAAATAGAATATTTGGAGTTGTTTATTAAATTTTGAAAACTAATTTACTTTTAAAGATGAAAGAAAACCGGAAGGTTTGTCATGGAGAAATCAAGAACGTACCGTAACGACATCTAGTTTGATTTCGGGAACTAATGTTTTTTTTTAAACTACTTCCTCATTGGTCCCACACTTACCACACCATCTTTGTACAGGATTTCATATTTTTTTGTATTTACATTTTTATTACAGTCATCAACACGTGTTCAATATGTGGACTTGGATATTATGTCTTCGAGCCCCGGAAGAAACTTTACACGTGAAGAATCGCCTTACGCGCAAATCATTGGATTTATGGAACCACAAAATAAATGATATAAGTCTGGATTGTATGTTGTTTGCCAAATAAAATTTTAACGAAATATGAAAATAAAACTGAGTATTTTGTTTATAGTCTATTACTATTCAAGGTTTACAATAGAATAGATACTCATATTTTGTTCACTACACCATAGACATATTATTTTTATACACGTGTAACAAAAGGGTATTTTACTCCGTTTAAAATATTACTTGTATTGTAACTGTTTATTTTAATTAAAAAACCCATAAACAAATATTTCGCACATAATATATACGTTTTCTTGTCTTAAAATTAGATGGAGGAAGTATTTTAAGAAAACAAAGAAAGAACTAAAAAGCACCTCACTAGATAGCGACTCTACCAAAAGTTGAATTTTCCATTAAACGAATCTACCAAAGATAGTAATTTCTGTTCCTTTTAACTGTCATATAAAAAAAATGAAATTTGCAAAGTTCGAAACTTAGATATCGATACAAATACGAAAAAGTACAAATAGAATATGAGTTCCGAAAGGGTTGTCATGGGGAAATCAAGAAAGTACCGTAGTGACATCAAGTTTGGTATCGAGAACGAATATTTTTTTTTTAATACTTCCCCATTAAAATCTGCGTCGCTCCATGTGCGAAACTCAAGTACCTGAAATGGTAATTATTGACAAATTTTTGAAGTATTTACATTTTAACAAATCTATAATAATGAAATTCTTATTTTTTATGATATTATAATGTGGAAGTATTTAAAACAAAACATTAGTTCCCGAAATCTAACTAGATGTCGCCACGGTACGTTCTTGATTTATCCATGACAATTTTTCCGGTTTTCTTTCATGTTTAAAAGTGAATTAGTTTTCAAAAGTCAATAAACAAATCATATTCTATTTGTACTATTTCGTATTTGTATTGATATCTAAGTTTCGAACTTTTCAGATTTCGGTTTTTTAATATGTTAGTTAATAGGAACGGAAATGACTGTCTTTTGTCCATTTGTTTCCTGCAAAAATCAACTTTTGCTAGGGTCGCCATCTACTGGAGGTGCTTTATTTTATATTTCATCATTATGATAATAATTGGGTCCACTTTTGTGTCTCTCGACTATTTAAAAGGGGTATTATTTTTATCATATTTTTGTTTAACGATATTGATATATTTTTAAACATAGAAAATAATTCCACTTAACGTTACATTTATAAGTTAGCTTGTAATTTATTGTAATAAGTGTTATATATCAGCCCCCTTATTCGGTAACTCTGAGATCAACCGAAATAAATTGTTCACATAACTCTGTGGACAAGCAGTCATACGAATGTGATTTGAACACATTTGGAATTGTTCACTTAATGAGGCGTTTACCAATTTAAGTTGTCAGTTGAGTTAGCGAATAAGTTTGCAGGTAAGATAACAGTGACAAATATTATCATGCTTACGTCAACACTATTTCATAGACAAGCTAAACTGGCCGTCAAAAAAATGCCTATGGCTTCCGTTCAGCGCACGCGGAAGTGAATACTTAGTGATTTCCTTTTCCTTCACTACCTATTCAAATAATCTAAAGAAAGTTTTTTTGAGTAATAAATTTAAGTTAAATCCGAGCTCATATAAATTTAAGTTGTGATATCGTTGTTGTGGACGTGGATTGTTATTTACCATCACAATGGAAGTTACCGATTTTAGTGATATATTAAACATTCGTACTGTTAAAATGGAAACAGGAGAAAATGGATTTGATAGTGTAACAGAAGTAGAGTCTTCTGATCCTTTAACAGCGATACCGCAATATGTAACGGAAAGTGATTTGGGTAAGTTAATATTTCATTGGTACAACTACAGTAACACCAGAGCAAGAGTTTTTATCAAATCTTTGTGGTAAAATGTTTCATTTCAGAAAACTACGACTAAATCACCAGTACCATGATAGTGTATCTTTTACTATATACATTATAATGATATTAATTATACAGGTAAAGTAAAATAATGTAATAGGTTAATGTCAAAACAAGTCCAATTCAAGGATAAATAGCACCGTAGCTCTTCTGTATTGATATCATATAAAATGTCAATCAAATTTTATTTATCACAATTATAATTAAATTCAAGGACTACTTAAAACCATTTTGCTAATAACCACATACTTTATGGACTCAACAAGGATATGAATTTTTACTTCACAAACAGATTGTTTTAAAGAGCAATTCAACTATGTAACTAAAGTTATCAACCTATTTCTTAACTGTAACATAGGTAGTTTTCAAGTGGTAATTATTTTATTCATTCATAATAAGGTTACATACATACAGTAGAAATTTCTTATATGAGCCTTCCTTATTTACATTTTCATTATTCACTGGGAAAATAATTTACAACCCAATTTCTGTACTCACTGCTAAAATCTGTTTATTTGCTGATTCAATCGGTGTCATAAAAGAATTCAGCATCATTAATTAATGCATCATCATTTTTCAATTTATTCAATACTTCAACATGTGTCAATGTGACTTTTATAATACCTTGTAATTTTTGCTTCATTGTAATATTCATAAAATACTTTTAAAAAGTTATATTATGAATGCTACAGCTACGCTAGTTATGAATTTAAAGATCTTTAAAAACTGCAAAAAATGATAATGAATGATAATCTCAAATGTAATAATTTTCAGGAAGTAGGTACAGCGAATCTATTGTAGATTTCTATGGTGTTAATTATAATTAGGCTATTAATATATCGAAGTTTGGATACAAACTTTCAATAATAAAAAGAAAATACATATGTCAACACCTTCACATGTCTACACTTCCCATGCTCCGTAGTAAAATCTAAACAAATATGTCATTAACTAAAACTGTTTTCTAAGAAATCATCGACTTGAGGTGTGTAGTATAGTATATTTACAATATCATCAGGTCTTATGCAAGCGGGAACGGAGATTCTTCAGGCACCATTGGCTGTATTTGACACTGCTGATGATGATGATACCATGCAAAGTAATGACTCAAATGGTTAGTATGTTTAATATATTCTTTGTTTAGACTGGAATACTAATATTATTGAGTTTAAAGTAAGTTAACTACTTTTACTATAAATCAACAGCCTAATTATTAGGATGTCTATTTGCAGAAACTTTACAGGAGTAAGGAAAATTGTATTATTATAAGTAGGATAGTAATTTAATTATCTATTTAAAAGTGGAGAAGAAATTTAGTGGAGAGATTTAATATTTGAATTATTGGCAGAATTTTTATTAATGATCAATACTCCTTTCTTCTATATACTATCAAATAAACTTAGGTATTCTGTTAGTAAGGTTAACAAAAGTTCAGAATCTATAGTAGTTCGGATGAGTATCAATTCTCATAAACCATAAACTCTGCTATAGATAAAATAGGCATTATAATGTATGATATTGATGGCACAAAATATATATATAGAAAAATATCTATGTCACTGTAAAATGAAATTTAAAAGCTAAATCTGAATTATGCTTTAAAATGTGACTAGTTTTAGTATCTTACTGTCACTGAAGTGTGTTCTCTGAGGTTTTTCAGTGAAATATTTAATGTACACAGTCACTAAGTAGGTTTAGAAAGGTGTATTTGTTAAAGTGGAACATTTGTATTCTCTTTGGGGACAGCGGAACGAACAATCTAAAAACGGGACAATCCCGCCCAAAGCAGAATGTATGGTCACATTGGTCATAGCCCATTCTACCTATCCAATTCATGCCCATTAATAGGGAAGGCCTGTGCCTCAGCAATGGGGACATTAATGAGCTGTTTATGGTATAGATAAGTGCCGCGGCCCGCGATCGTTGTCGTAAAGCAACTTTCACTAGGGTCGGGATGGGTGGGATGGGTGACCAAAAAATTATTATCTCGAGCTACTCCGTGCTTCGGAAGGCACGTTAAGCCGTTGGTCCCGGCTGCATTTGCAGTCGTTAATACCCTCCAATCCGCATTGGGCCAGCGTGGAACGTCTTGGCCCATCCTCCTTAACCATCCATAAGGGAAGCCTGAGCCCCTGCAGTGGTGACGCAAATGGGCTGATGATGATGATGATTTACAGAAGAATTTTGCTAAATCTATTTAGTAGTGTCAACTATGGCACAGTCGCCGAACTACAAATCTCCTTCACTCGTAAGCAAACATGTTGCTATTGCGCTCGTACAGATGCATCTAGCCAATTTTCTCATAGTAAAGTGACCCTAAAATGTTTATGATATCTATCAGTAGGCACAAAGGTTAACGTACGGAATTCTTTCTGTTCGGCGACCGGGCTGTAGATCCCATTTTGGTTTGCACTAAACATAATTATAATGTGTAGTAGTATTAAAATTTTATTTTACTATAATTATAGAAGAGGTGATTATACAACTGATGGATATCAGAACTCGTTTATCTAAACTTAGAGCAATGTTGGAACAAAGGATTGGCACAGATCTGTCAGATTACACATTCTGGCTCCAAGATGCTAAAATGGTAAGTGGTGGACATGGTCTTGGTCCATTATACCTAATTGATTTAAAAAAAAAATTTCATAGCAAAAAACTTTTGATTTTCTTTCTTGATTACAGTTAGAAAACCATAAAACTTTAGTGGAACAGTGCATTAGAGGCGAAGGGGTTGTCCAGGTAAACATTCAGATAAGACCTGCTGAACATAAAATAAACATCTTAGATGTACTGAAACCTGACGAAGAGTTGTTACAGCTACCACAACAACCCGAACAACAATGTAAGTGTATTATTGAATTAGTAATAATAATGATATACATAATAAGTTTAATATTAAATTATTAAAGGCATTAGCGATTATTTAGCCATTATTGTTAATTGATGGAAGTTATAAATGACAAGATATCGACCGTGCCTTATGACGTTCTGACCCTACCTAAGTACCTCGCAAGTAAAAATCTGTATAAAAGGCCCAATTTCCATTGAAAAATCCTGAGATCTTGTTGCAGTTTGAGATTTTTCTCTGAGACGTCTTTATCCACTGCGGATCTCAGGGATCTCGCCCACTCGTTGGACATCGCAAATTTAGGAAGATTATTTTTAGTTTGTATAAGTTTTTATTAAAGAAACCTTTAAAATCAGTACATAGTATAATGCATAAATCTTTAAAACTACGCAATAGATTTTGATGCGGTTTTTTTTTCATAGATAGGGTGATTCCAAAAGAAGGTATTTTATGTATAATACAAACTCACGCGAGTAAAAAGCTAGTGTCCCATATTTTATTTAAAAATCTAAAAATTCGATTGCAGTCCTGAGAAAATCTAAAAATCTCGAGATATGGTAACTCTAGTCGCAAGGAGCTTGGCGTGAAGATAAAGTTATGAAAATTAGTTAAAATAGGTGTGTTACTATATTTATAACTAGCTTTCCGCTAGCGGCTTCGCCCGCGTGTAAATTTATTATACATGAGCCGCACACGTATGTACTCATATATCTAAACTCCCCTCCCGCTCGCGCACCCCCGCCTTGGTGACGCCCACTTCGCAACGGGCCGTGCAGCAAAAATCGTAATATTTTAATTTCGCCATAACTTCAAAACCAAACGTCCAATTTAATCATTCAAAGACCTAATATCATATCATGTGTAAAATAAAAACGCGTTTAAATATGGTCCAAAAAAAATTCAAGATTTTGAAATAAAAATATGGTTGTTGTGCCTCACTCGACATAGATAGGTAGAGTGTGTTATGGACTTTTTTGTATATATTTATAAGATCTACAATTAATTTGAACATTTTATGGTTCTATCTTTTATAGTTTAGGCAGCTTACGCAAAATAAGTAACTCTTCTGGTTGATTTTTTACACCTTGTGTCCGAAAAATCCAAATATCTTACGCAACCCTATTTTTTTCCAAAATAAAATATAGCCTATGTTACTCGTGGATAATGTAGCTTTCGAATGGTGAAGAATTTTTTTAATCGGTCCAGTAGTTTTTGAGTCTATTGATTAAAAACAAACAAAATTTTCCTCTTTTTAATATTAGTGTAGATAAAAACTTCTTTTAATAGGGCCATAGTCTATTAAATAAATATATAAAACAACATTATTTGCCACAAATAAAAAGTAACCAATACCAATAAAAAAGTAACCAATATCAAAGAATACTATAATACAAGTAACCATGTTCTCATAATTTATTTTATGGCGTTTTTTTAATGCCATGTTAGTGGCCTTTACACATAGAGACCATATAAAAAATATGATTTATTAATAGCAGATGTAAAAAAAATTGTTCACAAACAATATTTGACAGTCTTGAAATGAAATTTCTGAAAAGAAATTTAAAACACATGATGTATATTTTTCCATTCCTTAGGAACAATATAAAATATATTACTTACTATTAAATTTCAACCATATCTTAATGAAATAATAACGAAATATTTATTATTTGTTTTTAGTTAAAGGGAAAATTTACTTTAGTGTGAATAATTGTATATATTGTGTTAAATTATCTATGTAATTTTGTTATAAGATGTGGAAGTGGACGAGGATGTTGTACCAATACCGGTACAAGTGCAGGAATGTAATCAAATAGTGGAAGAAGAAGCGACTCACGCGGCCGCCGTCAAGTGGATAGTAGATCCACACTTTAAGTCGGACCACAGAGTCAAGATACCAGATGACCCCAGACAATGGTGAGTTCTATATAATAATCATACAATTATCAAGTAAGTAAATTTTTCATAAATATAATTTGACGCAGACGATCAAAGTATTTAATATTATCTTACTACCTACAATATCTTTTATATAACTACAGTAAGATACAACTAATGTGGCTTTCTGATATGAATTCATTGGCAAAAATCGAGTCATATCAATAATGTTAGGATTGAATCCAAACAAAATCAAGTATTAAAATATTGATTTTCGATTAATCTTGACATTTTCGAACATGTCAGAAAGAATATTATACAAATAGTCATCATCATCATCATCAGCCCTTTTACGTCCCCACTGCAGGGGCTTTATGGATGGTTAAGGAGGATGGGCCATGACCCTCCATGCTGGCCCAATGCGGATTGGAGGGTATTAACGACTGCAAATGTAGCCGAAACTAACGGCTAAATGTGCCTTCCGAACCACGGAGTAGCTCGAGATAATAATTCTTTGGCCACCCATCTCGTGACCGACTCTTGCGAAAGTTGCTTAAAGACAACGATCGCGGGCCACGGCGCTTATCCACTACGCCATCGAGATACAAACAAAAATATTCGATTCGATTTGAATCGATACAAAGATCGACATGCCTAGTAGTAGCCTTCACACGACTGTCATTTTAAACGATGACGTCCCAGAGCGAATTGCCGCGTTTTTTTTGTTTCTTCCTTTTCTTCTTCTTGTTTTTTAATTCATGGCCTATTTGCGTTTACACGATTCCGCCAATGTCACGTTTGTGGTCTTTACACGTTAGGAAACAATAATAAAATATGTCAATTTTGAATTTCTGCAAAGAATCTTGGGGTTATCATCGATTCCAATTTGTCTTGGCTCCCGCACGTCAATGAGGTCAGCAAAAAATTACATTTTTCACTTCACTCGCTCAAATGTCTCCAGAACTTTTTACCTCTGAAAACCAAGATCTCCCTCGTACAGACTCTCCTTTTCCCCATTCTTGACTACGCTGACGCGTGCTACCTGGATGCCACTGAGGAGCTTCTAAACAAACTAGAGCGTCTCCAAAATGTATGTATTAGGTTTATTTTCGGTTTACGTAAGTACGATCATATTTCCCAGTTCCGATCGCAACTCAAGTGGCTTCCAATTCGTCACCGCAGGAACGCTCATGTTCTTTCTACTCTCTATAACATCCTATACAATCCCTCTGCTCCTTCTTATCTCCGTAACCTCTTCCACTTATCCCGGGCCCAGGACAAACCTTGTCGTTCGAACGTAAGGACGTCACTGGCCATCCCCACCCATCACTCTGATTTCTTTTCCTATTCCTTCACTGTCCATGCCGCAAGATTATGGAACGCTCTCCCCTACGAAGTACGTGATTGTCCATCATTACCTGTATTTAAAAAGCGAGTCAAAGAGCACTATTTATCACTAGTTGTCTAGTATATATAATATTTTTAGTTATATATGTATTTATGCTTATATTATGTATATATATTATTTATTATGCTTATTTATGTAAGTATATAATATGTAAGTATACATTTATGTTCATGTTAAGTATGTAATTATGGTCAAAAGTCGTATCTATTGTAAATATTTCAATTTAATTATTGTGCACGTTGTGTCTGCCTTACTTTTTATGAATCTCCTTCCGTAGGCCTACTGGAAGAAATTTCTGGTTAGAAATAAGTAGTGCCTGTTGTGTCAGTTATATTTGTATTGTTACTTTAGTGTTTTTATTGTGTACAATAAACTGTTAAATAAAATAAATAAATAAATAAAATAAAAAGAGCTCGGAGCTCTATCTCTATCTGATTACTTTAAATGTTAGGTAAATGTAGGTATAAAGACAGATGACATTAAATCTCAAATTCCTTCGCTAGGTCAATACAGCATGTGAAACTATGGATCCAATGGGCCGTGCGTCAGTTTAATCTGACAGGAATAAAACTGTCAGATTGGAATATAAACGGTTCACAGTTATGTTCCATCACTAACGTGGATTTTAAGTGAGTAATCATTAATGTGTTTTATTATTCCTGGTCTTATCTACATCACATACATTCAGTTATCACAAACTAACAGATTCATTTAGAAGCTGTTTTAAACCTTATTTTGCAAAGTGGTTAGTTTAAAATTGGTTACAGGAATTTCATACTTTGATAAAGGTAACTCAATAACTGGCAATCTATTTTAAATTGAAAAAGGTAATTTCTAACGTTGGGCAGATTTTTTAAATCGCAGAACGTACTATTGTAATAATTTGTAGTAAACTAATTATATTAATTTTATTTCAGTGAAAAAGTTCCGTCAGATCCTGGTGATATATTTTGGACACATTTTGAATTATTGAGGAAATGCAAATTTATCGGTAATATAACATTTTATAATTAATCATTCTTGATAAAACATTAAATTCTTTTGATAAATAAATAAACATTATTCAACTTCGCATACATTGCTCAGATTTCAAGATGAGTACCTGAGAAAACTAATTTATCACAAAATCCAGATTCAGCCTAGCTGACCTGACAAATTTCATATAGCTCAGTTTATGTTTTTATTTTTTATTTATGTAGATTATGCATTTTTATTGTTTTGTGATTGCATTATTATAACTTTTAAATTAGTCCTTTTTACTTTGTATGGCTCATCTTGCCATTTCACTACTGTAGCCACAAATTTAATGACGACTGTAAAAAAAATTCAAAAGCTTAACTCTTTAACAATGATGGGATCAGCAGTAGTTCAGGGTAATTCAATAAAATCCTCTTCAACCTATCTATTGTATGCTCAAATGATACATATCGAATCACTTATAAGTAAATTCTAAGATACTCTATGCCGGTCTCGATCAGAGAGAATTATTATCAACCAGCAAAACACGAACACGAAAGAGTGCTAATTCAAAATATTTGTAGCCAGCATTGACCATAAATCGTTACAGTGGGTACATTACGTCAACGAATTGAAAAATTCCTAAAAGAAGCTACCGAAATAAATGCCGCTAGATTCCAAAAAGAAGCTACTGAAGTAAATGTCCCTAGGTTTCAAAAAGAAGCTATTGAAATAAAAGTAAACTGACATATTTATTGATTTTCAAAACTCAATACAATTTTATTACCTACATCAGAAAGTAATCGGAATGCATGAGTACCATAGACAATTTTATTTTTCAAAGTGCGTAGTGATATCTATACCACAGCCAAATTCGATGAAGAATGTTTACTTACAAAGCGTAGCTTAGCAGCCAGTAACAGGCATATATTAATAACCTTTCTAAACTAGACAACAATATATTTTTTTTTCGATTTCGAGATACTACTTAATGACATATTCTAAACAATTGGGACAGAATTCAGGAATTGATTTTTATAGTAGTGTTTTGCAAATTACTACCTAATCTTTGTAATTTAATGTGCAATTACTTAACATTGCAAGCAACAATTCATGTGTAAACAAAAACCAACGAAAAATCATATGTTTTATTTATAAAAGTACTAGTACTTCATAAACTTGCTATTTATAAATTATGCAATCAATGAGGAAGTATTAAAAAAAAACGAAAGCACTAAAAAAACACCTCCACTAGATGGCGACTCTAGCAAAAGTTGATTTTTGCAGGATACGAATGGACCAAATACAGTCATTTCCGTTCCTATTAACTGACATATTAAAAAACTGAAATTTGAAAAGTTTGAAACTTAGATATCAATACAAATACGAAAAAATACAAATAGAATATGAGTTGTTTATTGAGTTTTGAAAACTAATTTACTTTTAAACATGAAAGAAAACCGGAATGGTTGTCATGGAGAAATCAAGAACGTACCGTGGCGACATCTAGTTATATTTCGGGAAGTAATTTTTTTTTTTTTTTAATACTTCTTCATTCACAATGCTGTATTATATTATAGGAAATAAAATAAAAAATAACGTCGTTTTAAACACTAGAAAGGAACACCGGACATTCACACGGCGTCAGTTTACATTATGCTATCGGTTTCAAATATTGTCAATCTAAAGGAACATGTTTTATAGTAATTGACAACGTTATTTGGAAAGTTAGTTTAAAATTAAAACATGTTTCTAATATCTGAATTCTATAAGTCATAGGGCTGTCAAGTAAAAACATTTTCAGCTTTATTACAAATTTTTTATGAGTGTTTCTGGTAATTTATGGCATTAATAAATATTACTCATAAAATCACGAATTAATGTGCAGTATCCTGGTGAGGAATACGAGTTTTATATATATATTTTTTTATCATCTAAGTTGTGATTACCCTAATTTGCGTTGTTTCATTCATTCTTCATCGAATTTGACTGGAGAATCATTGGATTTCTTGAACTACTTTTTCATAATTTTCACTTTTACATTTTAAAGATTTGTATGATTGATATTTTCGATTTATTTTGTAGCCGTTGTGCAGACCAATGAAAATGTTCCAGCAAAAGATCCCCTTGAAATGCCGCAGTCTGCGATAAAGAAGAAACCTAAGCAGGTAAGTACCATTAACATCTTCATCAGCCTTTTTACGTCCCCACTGCTGGGGCTCAGGCCTTCCTTATGGATGGTTAAGGAGGATGGGCCATGACCCTCCACGCCTGCCCAATGCGGATTGGATGGTATTAACGACTGCAAATGCAGCCGGGGCCAACGGCTTTACGTGCCTTCTGAAGCACGGAGTGGCTCGAGATAATAATTTTTGGTCACCCATCCCGTGAACGACCATTGCGAAAGCTGCTTAAGAAAAAACTATCGAATTAGAAATGATGACTAATTTTTTTGTCTGTCTGTTGGTCATATTCTTCAATAATATAATTGAAGAATATTAAACACATATTTTTTACTTTTTCGCGAAATCATTAGATAACGGCAATACATTGTGCTGACATGTCGCGTGACGTCACACCTTTGTACTTTTTCTACATATTTGTGACGTAGCTCCACTCCTCAACTTTAATGCCTATTATCCAAGCCATGTCTTGTTTAATTGAAGCAAAAGAAATAAGTATATAATTATTTTTCTACTATTTGACTTACAGACTAAATGGCATTATCCCTATTATCTAGAGCCTCTACGTGTTTCGGAAGGGACGTTAAGCCGTTGGTCCCGGCTGCATTTGCAGTCGTTAATACCCTCCAATCCGCATTGGGCCAGCGTGGAGGGTCATGAATTATAATAGAAAATCATGTATTGAACACACAATTTTGCAATGTCTTTTGCAAAATTGCATGTGTGTGTGTGTGTGTTCAATAAATGATTTTCTATTATAATTCATGCAATTTTGCAATAGACATGCAATTTTGCAATAGACATTGCAAAATTGCATGTAAATAGAATTGGCAAATATGAAATCATATAATAATAAAACATATAAACAGCTAATATATTATATTTTTTATATTGCCACATGAATTCAATTTTATAGAATAACATTTTTGTCGGGCAATATTTGTTTTTTTTTTTGGGACTCTGGACATCATACGAAATGTTTGGACAATCCAGACGAATCCCGACCATCTGGCAACTCTAGGGCTGAATGATGACTAATTTTAGTCCTCGTTTTATAATAAGACGGTATGTTGCATTTAGGATTTTTTAAATCAAAGTCTCTAATTTAATTGTTGCAGTTAATACTAAAGCCCTCATCTGAAGACGATCTCACACCTTACATGACGGCACGTAACGGCAATAACGGGCAGATTCAATTATGGCAATTTCTACTGGAACTACTGACTAGTGCCGAATATTATGACGTCATACGGTGGCATGGTGAGTACATCTGTCTCTTTTACTAGTGATTCTTATTCATTCATTCTTGCTAATGTATGGATTGAGAGTATCGTTGCAATTTTTGATTGGGATTATTGCAATTTTTTGACGACAGATTGCAGCACTTGTAGTTAACATAGATATAAAAGTCTATGGTAGTAAACAATTGTTTATAAACGTCATTCACAGAATAGTGAGTAGTGAGTGAAGAGTAAAGTAATAATATGCTCATTGTTACTGATATGATACTCATATAGGATGATGCCTAGGAAAAAAAAATCTATTCAGTCCGTCACCCAGATAATAGAAAAATATTAGATACGTATTTTTTTTACTTCAATTTAACAAGAAATAGCTTAGATAACAGGCATTAAAGTCAAGGAGTGGGGCTCGCTACCTCACAGTTTTGTAGAAAATCTACCAAAGTGTGACGTCAGTGTCAATTTAACTCAACTTCGGTGAGTTGCACCAACGTCCAATAAGGTTTAATCACGTCTAAGCACTAATGAATGTCTAATTTGTATGGGTCATTTCGTTTTTAACTAATGACAATTTTAACTGGCTGCTTATCGCAGTAATTTAATTATTACGAAAAAATAATGTAATGTAAAAAACATTATTTGACAGACAAACAAACAAAATTGTCATCCCTATTATGTGTCAGAATATGAAGTTTTGATTTTAATACATTATTTTTTAAAGAAGCTTCACAATTATCTCGAGTTTTTGCAGTTGTTATAATCTCAAAATTTTATTTACAAATTACACATTTTCCTGGCCTCCAGATGAAAAGGTGCTTATTTATTATTTCATTATAAGCATAAACTAATTTAAATTATCAATATTGGTGGCCAGACAAGATCTTAAAAAAAATTTACAGGTCAATCAATGTATGGAAATTGGACATGATTCTAACCCTTTGTAGGAATAAAATGTTTTTTCAATAAATCTCGAATAAAATATTTAATCTTTTATACTATCACAAGGTACAAACGGTGAATTTAAATTATTGGAGCCAGAACGCGTCGCCCGTTTATGGGGCGCTCGTAAACACAAACCCGCCATGAACTATGAGAAACTGTCGAGAGCACTACGGTATTATTACGACGGTGATATGATAGCTAAAGTGACCGGGAAGAGGTACGTAAATAAGACTTGTTGTTTTCCCACGACGCGTAAATTATAGCCGATGGCTTCGGCGTATGATTTAGATTTTAGAAATTGGTCCAGTGGTTTCGGAGTCTATTCGAAGCAAATAAAATTTTTCGTCTTTATAATATTAGTAAAGACAAGTGTTATTTGATTTTAAAAAGGTTTTGATGGGTACTAATTTTTTGTGTTGTTTCTTTCCGCCAGCGGCTTCGTCGGCGTGGTCCTGTATTATACATAAAAATCTTCCTTTTGACACTCTACCTATTAAAAAAAACCGTATCAAAATTCGTTGCGTAGTTTTCAAGATATGGACAGACAGACGGAAAGCTACCTTGTTTGATACTATGTAGTGATTGTGAAATGTGACGTCATAAAATTTAGGACAGCTCCCACACCATATCACATTTTATTGAACCCTTCCTCTCCCTTTCAACGTGTAATGTAATTTGTATATAACCCCCTAACGCATACTTCTGTCAGACACTTTATCTTCCGTCAAATTTGCACCGACGCTAAACGCCTAAAATAGAAATATTGTTATATTTTCAGATTTGTATACAAATTTGTATGCGATTTGCAACAGCTCATTGGATACGACGCAGGCGAATTAGCGGAGCTAGTTAAAGAAGTGCACGATTCCAAGTTAAACATATTGTGAACATAACATGAACAAAAAAACTTAAGGAAATATTGGAAAATATTCGTTTCAAATGTTGTCAACGAAAAAACGTTACCTTTTAAATTTAATAATCCAGAAAAAAATTTTAAATAACTGTTCGTAAAATTCTGACTGAATTGTATATATAATAAGTTCTCGTGCCTTAGTCGAAAAGTGGTTTTCTTTTGAGCGGTTAAGGTTCAAAGTTTGATTACGCATGTGTTATATAAATACCGACTGTGCGACATATCATTGCAAATTTTCTTATCTTTTAGTTATTTTCTGCTATATACTGTTGTTAAATAAATTATATTTTTAATTCGTAAGCTTTTATAAAATGTTACAGTAAACACCCGAATTTAAAAGAAAATCAAAAATTTTCGACTTTGGCATTATTGTGCATGTACTATCTCCTTTTACTTTAATAACTTATAATTGGTTAACTGATCGTTGTTAAGACCTCCGTTGACTATTTAGGTATAAAAAAGAATAATTTTTGGTACTCGCATATATTTTTATATGTTAAATGTGTTTTAAAAATACTTAAATGTAAAGAGATCCAGTCCATGCAGCCACGTCTAAATTAATTTTCTTCCGTTATCATTATTAACCACTTTTCTGTCTTTTATATACTATACTATTTTTTTGAACTATATGTATATAGTTTGGTATATGATAATTTGGCTCACAAAACACTAATTTTCAATATTACATTTTTTATTACAAATTTTCTTTAGGTTATATTGATCCAAAATTAAATTCACATGTTGCCATAAACTCTATTTTTTAAATAACCGTTTTTCAATTGTTTTGAAGTCGATAAATATGAATGTGTAAATGAGAATTAAGTGATATTGTAAATAAATTAGGTTAATGTTGTTGATATTATGTACAAATAAAGTTTATACTTAGTTTTTAAATGTTTTACTTTACTCATCTTGATATAATGTATGATTAATGATGGAGTATTAAAGCAAAGTAAGCAACTAAAATTTTACATAAACATATTTGTCATTTTTTTTCCAGAACCGGAATCACATTAGCGAAATCATCAAAATGGGCCAAAGAAAATAATAATTTTCGATCCTTTACACTTTTTTATATAAATGAAATTACAATTAGAAAAAAATTTTACTAAAAAAAAGTTTACAAAAGTAAAAATTTACTAGCTCAATTTACTTTTATTACATAAGAAAGATTTTTCGATATATTCAAATAAGCCAAACTATTTGACAATTCCGGCATTGTTGTTAAACTTACAGAAAATTAAAACGTAAAGGGGTCGAGTTGGGATCAAGGTTGTACAAATGTTTCAATTCAAAGTATGTAACGAAATTTACTTTAATTTCGACTACATTTTTCACTACATTTGCACAAACGTCCATTAAATTTTTCATTAGTTTAAAGTGACATTACACATACAAATTTGATATTCATTAGAGATTAAAGGCGTCATTAAACCTTAATGGACGTTTGTGCAACTGACCGTTAGTCAATTCGTTCTTAATAGTTCATTTGTATTAGTTAGGCAGGCCTACTTGCACTAAGTGTAGGCGATTTCTCGTGGACTCATTTCTCAATGAAAGTAACACAGAAAACGATAAGTTGTATAATAATCAGCTGTTTCATACAAAAACGATAAGTTGTATAATAATCAGCTGTTTCATACAAAATTGTTATACCTACAATCGTTGACAGTATGAAACAGGTGATTATTTTTTCAATGTTGCTCCCATAGTAAAAGTTGTTCAGTATACTTAACTAATACCTGTCCTGGCATATAAGTCCTGGCATATCGACTCTGCCGAATAGATGATTTTCTTGACACTATTACTGATTCAATTAAATTTTTTATTTTAAATGTTTGCTATTTAAAAAGAAAATATTTTTTTTTCTTTCCTTTTAAAAATAGTTGATCAGTAGAACAACTAAAATATTCGAAGCCTTTAGTGACAAAATAAAAGCCAAAAGTTATGTAAAAGCATATTTTATTTTTAATCTTAACCATTCTTTAGATAGAATAATTCACAGCTTTGGTCTATAAAGAGCGCAGTTATCGGAAATAAAAAATATACATAATCTATCACATACATATATTATCAACTATTCCTCATAAATATACCTGGAGTAATTTCACAAACAAAAATAAAACCTTAAAAATTAAAATTATAGAAGAGACTCCTAATCAAATAAACAGCAATAATAATGCACTCTTAATCACGTAACCCCTCATTCCTTACATCTATATCATCAATAAACAGAAGGAAAAAAAAAAAGAATTGCATAACTTCGAAAAATCTAGCGTTCCATCTAGTAGTGTGTGCGTTTTTATTGTACTCCTTTTTTAAATACAAACTTTTTAAATTTAATATTACACAACAAAAAATAGAAACAACTTATTCTTCATTTTAGATTATACAATCAATATCAAAACGAAGTCACCGTACATTCTGCAATCTGTGCCAGAGACAAGTGGCAGACTATTTGTTAACTTAAATGTAAAAATAAAAAATAATATTTTCGCTATATTTAAATCATGATATTGCAATTTTTTTTTTTTTTATATTTAGACTGTGGAGTTAATGTTACCATTAAAACGAATACAACTACCAACTGTCAAAGGGCTGACCAACGTCTAGGCACGGCATGACTCAAGTTATTCAGCAACGTCGACTGCAACGGGTTTGGTTTTAAACTTTATTTAAATGTCATTAGCGCTTCAATTCCTACAAGTTCAGTTATTTAAGTATGAAACATTAGCAGGCCCAACAGGCACCCGGGTGCTAAGTAGTGTTCTGGCGCACCCCAGCCCACTTTTTACACATAATTATATTAGATCATCATCGGCGCGGCGCCCCCTACCGCGTGGCGCCCGGGTGCATTGCACATCTATTATAAAAACGATAAGAGTTCTAAACTAAGCGACGCATGATAGTTTCGAGACGGCTCTTAAACGCCAAAATGACGATATATGAGTAACTAGCTCGCTGTCTCTTATTCCAAGATAAAATCTCTATTATATCTTGCGGGATACGGTTCTGTGTTTTGTCATCTTATGGAAAAATACGCGACATGAAATGATCAGTCTCTTGGCATTTAAATAATTTGTTAATATGATATATTTTGAACAATTTAATCGGTAATAAAATCCATTGTTATGCCATCAATTAGCTTTTATACTAGAGTACAAATAAACGTCTTGAAACCTTTTCAGTTCACAGGGCCCAATTTCCAAAATGTCCAGTTCCCACAATGATATAATATTGAGATTTTGAATTTTGTCATTTTCGGAATTGGTCATTCTCAACTGAAAGGCTCTAACTGAACGTTTCTCAATTTGTAATAGAGATTGTGTAATCTCTAATTATAACGTTACTTTAAATAATGATCGTTACTGAAATTGACATGCTTTTATTACTCGTAAAACAAGCTGTCCTTTACTGTTCCATAGCCTCTTAAATCATGCCGCGACGTTTTAGTCAACTAGGGTCTTTAAAATATAAGCGGAAATAGTTGGTTTTTTAGATCAACTAAACAAACAACCTAACAGAAAATGGTTTATTATATCAAATTGATTAAATGAAATTATATTAATCACGCCTGCTACCTGATTTTATTTCCAACGGTTTTTCCATTAACATAATAGGAAAATATCATTAAAATACTAAAACAAAATGAATTAAAGTTTATGTAACAAAAAAAAATACAAGAGTAGGGGAAAATTTTATCCTTGTCAAAAATAAACTAAACTACAGACGTCCTACATTCGAAACTTAAAAATTTTGTCATACAAAGAAAAAACAACAAACAAAAAAACAACTTTGGCAAGATTCCTTTAAAATCGAACGTTGTGACACCGCTTCATGAAAACGAAAAGTGAGCCTTAACATCTAACGCATCGACTCCAAATTGCCACATAAATTCGATACAATATCACTTTCCCAAGCATTTAGTTTGATTCGAGTATGCCATTTTAACAACATGATTCTTGGTTAACGAGAAATTACACAGGGTTCTATGTAAAAGACCAACCTCCCAGGACTACATGGATAATTTAAAGTAGTTAACGGTGGCGGATTGAGGGAGGGGGCGGAGTGGGCGGTCCGCTCCAAGCCTCCGGTGCTGAGGGGCCTCCAAATTTCTAATTTCAAATTTGGAAGATTCGCCAGTCACTGCTGCGCTTGGCATGCATGCTCCGTACAGTCCTATACATTTGTATATTGCTATAAAAAAAAACCTAATTTACCCGAGACGGGACTTATTTTTTGTTATTGTTTGACAGTCCAAAAACTGCTCTTTCGTTGCAAAAACTAGGCTTCTGCTTTATATAACCGTTTACGAATGGCGTGACTTCTTTGACCCCCCCCCCCCCCCCCCCCCCCCCAACACTAGCGCCGCTGAGCGGGAGCAAAATTAGTTTTGGTAAAGGAAGTAATTTCTCGTGACTACCATACCATTTTTACAGACATGTTGCTAAAATAACGGACTCAAATAACATTTTATATTTACAATATATTCGAAAGCTAATTTTATCTGAGCATTCGTCCGACGAGAGCATTCCAGTTTCAAAAATAATAAACAATAAAAAAAAATTCGATTGGTCCCCGCTGTGAAAACCTATTTTTGTAAAATATGAATTTGGCATCTGTCAGCCGTATGATGTATACCGAATGATTTATCAAAACATTGAATTAATTCAGATTTTTTAATAAATTTAATACAATTAATTGCATGTAATAGATATTTTTTTGAAAATGGAATGCACTCAACATTCCTTTGGCGAAACCTTATAATGGCAATCAATATGGATGATTCCCATTTGTTCTACAGAACATAATGTCTTTAAAGATTTTTTTCCATAGAGTCCTATTGCTATTACAGTGTTAATATATTATTACTATACATCCGACTTGCGACGTAATACAACAAATAAGTTTTGTTTTTTTTTATGTCCAAATTGTTCCAATATCCATGTCTTTATGTACTATAAAAAAGTATAACTAGATACCAAACACCTATCTTCAATAATTTTAATATTTCATGGAACATTAACTCGATGGAATATATAGAAAAAAATGATCTCGTTCGATCATGTTATGACCCATAGACCAAATGGGAAGTAACCAATCAATATTATGGTAACTTTACATTTGACGCACTTAATTTAAAAGATACATATTTATATGAAAATTAAAGTATCTTATTAATAGAAATTAACAAATAAAAATATAAAGAAATGATATATTAAAAAAAACTCTTTAAAGAAAAACGATTTAACTATAATATTATATAAGTTATACTGGTAACAAAAGCAAAAAATATAGATATCCAAAACAATAAAAGTTGTATTCGAATTTTATAAATCTTTCAGCTTTTTACAAATTTATTACACATAGTTAGTACTAATATATACTTTTTAAATAAATCTAATCTTTTCGCGTTTCTTATATACACTTATATATCAATGTGTGTATATACTTCTTTAATTATACGTAAACTCAAAAACATGAATTTTTCACGCTAGCGATAGACTAGATTTTGTACTGTTTATAAAAATAAGTTTTGTAGAATCTAAGGTAGATTATTCACAGTCAAGAATGAATTCAATTGAATCTTTTCAAAACAATATGTTTTTAGGTTATTTTAAACTTATTTTTAATTACTGTATGTAAATGATAATAGTTAAGAGATTTCATGTCGTATTGTGACGTAATCTCTTTAGAAAAACGATAATAAAATTATAGAAAATAAGCCTTGACATAAATGACTGACAGAGAGGAAAAAAAACGTTATTCTAAATTAAATAACGACGGAAAATGAAAACAAACCTTATGACGATTCGAACAAAGTTGTATATGGCACATTTACCATACTATTTCAGTTATACAGAGATGTGACGTTGATATAAAAAAAAAATTTAATTTAAGAAAATTACACAAAAAATGCAACGAAATTCTTCAAAATCTCGCAAAATATACTTTCAATAATTTCCAAAATAATACCGTCACTGAATGTATATGCAAAAATAAAGAATCTTAACAATATCACATATTAAAATGTATAAAGAGTTACAAAAACTATTTTCATATAAATATCTGTTTAGTTGCAGTTATAGAAAATTTTACCTACGCTTAGATACCACAAAGTATAAATAAATAGGTATACATAATAGTTTATACACTATAATATATACTGATGTCAATTATTACGGAAAATAATGTTTATACAAGGTGAAATCGAATTAATCTATATATATATATAACTCAATCTTATATATAGGTGGTAGATACTCAATAACTTTCTACAATAACAAAATTATTTGAATCCTTCATACTAAACGGAGGCGTTTCTAGCTGCTTTTGAATATAAAAGTATTGATATTCTGCATGCTCCCTTAAAATAGTGCTAAAAGTTTCGACTTCACCTGTGTATACAATACATAATGACAATGGATTCGAATCTTTTTCTCACTCCTTAAAATTATCTTCTTATGTGAAGACGACTGAAAATAGGTATCGAAATACTGTATTGGACAAAAGTTTAACTTAACATTCCCATTGAAAGTTAAAATTATCGAGTCTATGTTATACGTAGTTTGATTAATAGTATTTCAAATGTGAGAGTTATGTCTTAGCACTTGGGTGGATATCCAGACTTCAATTAAAAAAGATTAAGAATAAACCCATAGTCCTATTTATTATATAACAATAATAATCAACTGCAATTAACCGGACATAATGCTTATATTTCAATGCATACAGAAACTATGTAAAGTAAATTATTTACTGAAGTAAGTTTTAAAGAGAGACGGAATCGGAACCATTGTCGAACGTACAATTTTGAAAACATGTATGGTAAAGTTCATAGCACACTCGCGCCGCTCCTCGGCGATTTACTATCATTTAAAGTTGATCATCAAATTGTATGTCATATAATATATTTAAAAACGTCAATTAAAAAGTCAATGGCAGCTGCAAAGTTTTTTTTTCTAATATTGACTTTATCAAATGTATTATATATGTATTGACTTTATGAATTGTATTATATGACATACGATTTAATTATCAAATTTAAATGGCAAGTTAATTGCTGGAGCTGTGCCAGTAGTCTGCTTCGACCTTTATTGTAAAAGTGATAATCTGTCAAATATGTATACTTATTTTTTACAATTGACAAAGTACCTATATAAAAAAAAAACTTTTAAGTTTGTACATTGTAAATTCTATAATATTGCCGCTGGCAACATCGAACACATGGAAAAATGTTTTACCGCTACCGATGAAAAAAAAAAACAGTTAAATAAAATATAAAAATAATATTTCTTACAATAGTCATATGTAAATATCTTTAAAATGTAATATATATATAAAATTCAGAACTATATTCTTACTAATTTTATAAAGGCGAAAGCTCGTAAATGACAATGAGAAGAAAACAAAGTACGAATCTTTTATGCCCTTTCACTATCTAAATCAGGGGTATCAAACTCAAATTCACTTTATTTACATTAGATTTAGAATGCGTAGGCGGTTAGGTGCTTTAATAAAAAAAAAACCGTGGAAAAATCGCAGTTAAATCCTGAAAAAACAATTTTGTGATATATTGTGATCATGGGCCGTAACTTTGACATGACTGATATAAGTGATCTGTTTTTTTTAAATTGCTGTTACTGTTTTAAGTCATGTTGTTTTAATAAAATTTTGAAAATTAATTAAGTTTCAACAAAAAAGTGTTACTAATTATTCCTTTTAAAAAATAATTTACAAAAATAACTACTATATTACTCATAATAGTAGGTACAAAATATGACTGTCACTGATTAATAAAAATCTAAAATTATAGAAATCTTATTTAAACGCTAAACACGTATTAACTAAAGTATAAAATCCCAAATAAAAAATATATAATGCACCAAAGAAAGATAAAGAATAAATCTATTAAAATTATAAAAAATAACTCTAAAATCTTTTTTAAACAGATTTTATTTTCTATAAGCACCATTTTCTATATATAAAGCCCATATTTTATAAAAATTTAAAATAACGCTTCTTTTTTCTGGTTATTTATATATGCTTAGAATAAATCTAATATTCATAACACGATTTATAAGTAGTAAAATTTTAGTACTGCACTTTGAAAATTTTGTAATAAAAATGGGAACTAAGAACATCAGGGCTGTGAAACATTTTCCATGCACCGATAAAAAAATATACTTTATAAATATATTACATACAATAAGAAAACTGAGAGATTTTCGTCAATTACGACAATTGTTTATCTCTAAACACATATATATATTAATATCTTCAATTTTGGAATGTTTCTCGTCACTGAAGGATTCTCGATAGATCCTGGAAAATATATATTTACAAAAATGTATTTTTAGATAATATGTTTTTAAAAAATTTTCTAAGTTTATCTAAGTGTTGTTATAATTTTATATGCTTTTACATCTTTATTTTTGTTTTGTTTATGGCAAACTTGGTTAAGAAACGCTGAATTGTGGGTTGAGTGTAGCCTTATTATTTTTACTTACCTCATATCTATGCAGTAATGGCGGGCTAGTATAATGCGGATTTTCACTGTAAAAAAACGGTCTCTTCATAGTATTTTGCCCTGAAAAGAAATATTTATTACAACTAAAATATTTTATACAAAATGTATGCCCCGAATCCAATGCCAAATGCCAATGCCAATTTTAAAATGTATAGATTAATATATTCACATATTAAACATCTATACTTAATATTTAACTAACGTATTGTTCATTAAAATGTTACTACATCACATAAAAGCTTATGGTACTCAACTCAACCTGTGAATAGCAGTTTGTGTTCCAGAATAACATCAACTTTAGTAATAAAACTATATTTTGTGAACTATTTTCAAACCCAAATCCCCAAATAAAGAATAAAAACACAATATTAGAAACTTAATCTCTCTGGGATAAGTTGCCATATATAATAATACTTACATAGTTGCGTGTGCGCAGCCAGTGCGTTCTGTTTGGCTATTAATAATTCAGGACCCGGTCTATGCAACTGTTCGTAGTAACCACCTGGCACAAAGAATCGTAATAAATAATAATGTAATTGCTTTATTGCACACTACAAAAGATGTTATAAATATGACCAGTATGGTTAAATTTATACAAAACACTTACTTGTTACATTATCTTGTCCATTGCCTGCGTAGTATGGACTTCCTTGTGGTTGTAATACACTATCACAGCCTGTATAATAGAAAAATAAAAACATAAGATATCAAACATTTGGGATAATAAAATAAAAACATTGAGATCAAACAACTGGGATAACTGTGCATGAACTATCTTCAATTTTAATTAATAACAACGAGGTTTCATTTTTAGTATTCTGTCTAATGTAAGTTTAAACCTAAGAAGCAGCTCAACCTTTATGGGATGACTTTATAATTTACATTTTATGATTTAATATTTTTCCATTATATTGAAAAACAGGGTGCACGCTATAAGAACTATAAAAATTTAAAAACTAAACTCGACCCTTTTGGGATAAGTGAGTACTGACCTGCTGGCGCCGAATGCGCATCGCTTCCATCAGGTTCCTGTTTAACGTGATGATGGAGTTCAGGAGCCCGCTGCTGGTGTTGCCTCTTTCCATCTTCGTATCTACTTATTAGTGTGTTCGCATCTGTGGTATTATAATCTTTCTATGAGTATTAAATGTAAGGTTTTGCTGAGCAGATTCAGATAAAATAAATAAAAATATAAAAAAATACTTGTGCACAAAGGATTCCTAAGAATATCTATAAAAAACTACATTGTATGATGGCCCCTTTAACTATTTATATTATTCTTTTTTATTGTATTCCGTTTTTTTAGTATTTGTTGTTTTAGCAGCTTTGGAAATACATTATCTGTGAAAATTTCAACTGTGTAACACTGTTAATGAGCTACAGCCTGGTTATAGACAGACAGACATACCGTCGAACAGCGGAGTCTTAGTAATAAAGTTTATGTTCTTTTTGGGCATAGAAACCTATAAAAACAATCGTTTTAATGCGTTAAAAGTATGAAATAAATGTAGAAGCAAATGGAACCCATCTTTATAAGTACGCTGCATTTAATGTCACTACAAGATGGCTACATCAAACAGGGTTGACATAACATGCGAATTCGCGGGAAAACAGACAGTTTTACATAAATCTCGTGTCTATTATATTTGTAAAAATACAAAACTTTATTTTAATATGTAATAACCAGTGGTGGGAATTAGGTAGAGTTATTCATGTACTTACACTGATTTCATACAGCGAAAGAATAAAGTGGATATGCCTCAAATCCCGAGATTAATTTTAAAGAGCAGAATAAATCCCGTGATTTTTTAAATAAAAAGTTATTTACTTTTACACAATTTAAACTACTTCACGCACGACGTTGCCAAACTTACATCAATGACATCGGATGTCCAAAGTTGCAAAATTTGTATTGTAAATTAATGTAAACTAATAAACATTTTATGTTAATTATCTTTGTTTTATTTGTCTATCTCTGACGTTGTTATTATTATTTAGTTGTAAGATTGTTGGCCACACGGGATTGTCCATTAGAAATCCCGGGAAGGTCCACATTAATATCAACATTTCGATGCAAGTACATAAATAACTCTACCTAATTCCGACCTCTGGTAATAACTATCTCACCTAATGCATTTTTCTGACGTTCATACATAAATGTCTCCTCATCGTTATTTATATCTATCTCTTGTTTTATATGATTTTCATTAAAAAAATTTTGATTCTCATTAATCCTATGTTGCTCCTGTAACATTTGCAGATTGTGTTGTTGGTTCCTCAACATCTCGACACTGTCTGGGTACCCATTCGAATACCAAGTATCCGTTCGATTCGGATATTTATCGTTGAACGCATACATGTCTACCTTTTGATAATCTACGGGCGCTATTTTCGGGTTCGTATACACTTCGGATACTTTCTCATATCCGTTGAGGGATTTTCGTTCCAATGCGTATTTCTCTGCCTCGTTATTATACTCCTCGTTGGTTTGAGGTATGTAGTCTTCTTCTGATTTGGTGTAATCTTTTGGTGTGTCATAACTTTTGGCGCTGTCCTCTTTCGGATACTGTTGGATCGGATATTGTTCATCCGTAAACGGTTTTTCGGTATCGTAAGTAGTGTTTTGAGAGTCGTCCTCTTCCGATTGCTCGGGATCTGTTTGCATGATGGCATCCTGCTTTTTTGGCTTCAAATGTGTGAGAGGGAGTGTTTGGCTTTGTGGAGATATCGCGCTGGCAATAGCACTTAGTGTCTGAAGGCGATATGCAAGCTGAAACACCATAAAATATTGGACGCATATGAGACGAAGGAATATCAGATAAGTTCTTTTGTTGCATAAATTAAAGAAACGACGCGGTTGCACCAGGCTAGAAACTAAATTTTGTAAAGAACTGATTGAGTAATCAAATTTTATAATAAACTGATTCATTTTATATAAAAATATTTGAGAAATTAAATTCTACAGAATCAGGTACACTCGTTGATCTCCCACCAAGTTTTTCTTAAAGAACTAGAATATATAAGCTTTGGAAGCTTCGACTACTTTTTTATACTCACATTGGCATCTTGCACTTCTGGTATACTGCCTGGAACTTCTGACGCAACCGTCAATGGTAAAGCCTGTTGATTCTGCATCATCCACTTACTATCTGTCTTCCCACTAGAAAAGACAAATTTATTATCCATCTTCTCTGCCCGTCTGCCTTCTAAAGTAGTATACAATAACCATATAATACTGTTAGAACTTCTGCGTTATAGATTCATTCTTTATAAATTTTTAGTTAGTCTCTCTCATTCACCTGCGGGTTTAGCGCGTAACAAATGCAAATAATTAAATACTATTGGAGTCTTCAGTCTTCGAAAGTGTTAATGAATAACCAAGCGTGTGTCCTTGTTGTGAGGAGCTATAAGTATATCGGCCTTTTAGATAATAAACCAGGTACACCCTTTATGGCAGAACTTTTGTGCATGTCGATTTTATCATCCAGAACAGCGACTGGCATAACAATTGATAATAAACGATGCAAAGGAGGTAGACCCTGACATTGCCTTTGCATATCGTTTACCACATTGCCATTGTAGAATATAGAGAGGTATCCTCCTTTTACATCTGTCGTATTGATTTGGCAATAAAATATTTCGAGAAAGAAATATTTAATGAACTTAAGGACTGTCACTTTCTAGATTGCGTATTATTTTATTTAGTACTCTTAAACTGTAATTACCTGTGGATATTTTTATAGGAGCTTATTTCTTCAAACTATAATTATACCGTACACATTAAGTACTTTTTAACAGTTCTAGAACAAATACACACTACCATAGAATAGTCTTACAATCCTCATAGTTTAATATGAATTTCCTAAAGTTGAATTTTAAAGAAACAGACTCACCAGCTCTCCTCCTTCCTTCCATCCCTGTATTTAACGGTGCGACTTTTCCTGATCACCATGACGTTACCGTCGGCATCTAACTTGGGTAGATTCTGCGACGGTACAGCGTCCTTGCTCAAAGTTTTCCATTGCCCTGGAATAAAGACACAATGAAAAACACGATTATAAAAGACGATTCATTACTTTTCTGAAAAGACTTCGGGCTTTAAAAACTACTATATCTGGGAGATATAGTAGTTTTTAAAACATGATTATCTAAACTGACAAGGTGTGATGAGCGAACTCATTTCTAAGAGCCGATTCCTATTTATCGGATGTCGGATATATAAATAAATAAATATTAGACAATATCAGATACTTTGTTCCGATTCTAAGATAAATAGCTAAAGTTCCCGTATTATCGAGTATCGGAGACAACGAAGGTACACACCCAGACCCGAGATATATTGTCTTGGAAAGGTACATTTTCTATCTTGGCCCAACCGGAATCGAACCCGGGATCTCAGAGATGGCGACAACTGGGCTAAAAAGATATATTTTTAAAAAGCACGTCGGTGCTTTTATTGTAACTAATATCTGGTGGATGTGAATAACTTCAAACATAATATCTTTTAACTGGAGCACCTTTTATCATTCCCGATAGCGAACTCGATACGAATTATTATTGTCAATATCTTATAATCAAAGTTGGTATTATTATTATATTATTTTTAATGGCAGAATAGGAATACTGCAGCTAATGTGGATATATTATGTCTGTTTAATATGATATGAAAAATAATAAATCTATTCATTGATTAAAGCAGGCTTTCGCTATGGTTGAAATCATAATTTTAAACTAACACGATTTGTATACATTATAATTATATGTAATCGGGTCTTGTTCGTGCATTTTTTTAAACAATTATTTCGGTAATAATGTTTTTAACACATCATCTACATATACATACATACATACATACGTACATCTGAAAATCTGTTAAAAACATTATTACCGGATTACCCTCACGCCTCAACTAAAATCAGAAGACGAGACCCGCCAGACCTCCAGTCTCCTCGTGATCAGAAACGTCGATTACATATAATTATAATGGTTGGAATCGTCTCAAATCGAATAAGAAGAATAGGTCATGGCCCATTCTCCCTATGCCATTCATGGCTAATGAACCACCACGCGGGCTCATGGTGTTAACAACAGCAGATGCAGCCGGAACCAACGGCTCAACGTGCCTTCCGAAGGACGGAAGAGTTCGAGGTAATAAATTTTTGTCACCCATCCTATGACTAGCCTTGCGAAAGTTGCTTAACAACCATGTCGCAGACAAAGCGCGCTAACCACTGCGCCATCGATCTCCTGTGTAATATTAGATTATGTATTTTTCACAAAACTGTTATATTGGATAGGAAATAGTTCCGCTCAGGCGGAAGTGGGGGGTAGAAAATTACCTGAAAGGCTATAACTATACTGATTAAATATTAATCAAGTGCAATTTTAAAACTGATGTAATTGATTAATGATTCTGGACACCTGATTGAACTCGAGCATATCCAACCAAACCAAATGCCCCATAGGCTGGCATTTGCTTCAATCCGATGTATTGAACATACATCCAGTTAACAATACAGTATTGAACCTTGAGTGTATTTTGATTGAATCCGGTGTCAACCAAATAAAAATCAATGTACAATAGATGGTAGGCCCGCCAGGCGGCACTGTGATAATAATAGAGCAGCAAACCTAAGCACAGGTCATTAGTACTGTTGTCTATAAATTTATTTGGGAAGAAGACACTTTGCCATTAAACAAAAAAGGGAACTATCTTGTTGCATTCTGCACTATCGTAACATCACACAAACGAACAAGGAAAAACGCCGCCATGAGGTCAACGTTGGGAAATTCCCTTATTATCAAAATACGTAATACGTGACTAAAATGGATTGACTGTTCCATCAAATCAAAATTAACATTAGAAAGCAAGTTACTAAATTATAGTTAATGAGTAGTAAAGTACTTGCCGTTTATGTTACTTCATAGTGGTCCTTGGAAGTCCAAAAATCGGAATAATCATACAATGTCTGTCTTATAATGAAATACTTTTAAGTTGGATTAATTATTAAATCCAGGACTCTTTAGGACTTTATAGTTATTATATAATTACCGATTTTTATATACTTATATGTCAATATTATATGTCAATATATAAAAATCTATCCAAAATTGAAATATATCCAATATTAATAATTATACTTAAAAAATCACTGCTTCGTTATTCTAGTAGTTATTTAAAAAATATAATCTATCTAATCTGTTACGGTCAGTTGCACAAACGTCCATTAAGGTTTAATGATGTCTTTAAGATCTAATGATGTCAATTTTGTATGGGTAATGTCGCGTTAAACTAATGATAATTTAAATGGACGTTTGTGAGCGCGTTTTGGGCCCCTAACGTCACCTTGTGTCAGAAACAAGGTAATTAATCAAATAGCAAAAAAAAAAAACAACTGTTATCAAAATAAATATAAAGAAAAAATCAATATATTACATTTATTATATTTTATTTTTAATTGGGATGATGGATGACTAATTTTTGCTTGTCCATCAGGTAGATTGTTGAAAAATATTATATGCATAGTTTTTTTTATTTTTTGCATAATCATTAAATTACGGCAATAAAATGTCACATGACATGTCTAGTATTTTTTTATTATCTATCTGACTGACTGAATAAATAGATTTTTTTTACCCTGTCGTCATCCCTATTACTGCCAGGCTTCTCAAACCTTAGCCTATACAATACAGGACAATTCAAGAAATTTAGGGCTTTGAAATTTTATATGAATACTGTTAGTCTGCGTCTTTATCAGTGCAAATAACTGTAGATGAAAAAAAACAGTCTAATAATTAAAATAATTAATAAAATAAAATAAAATAATTAAACTTTTCTTCTTTACAATATTAATATAGATCAATGATGAATCTTCAGTTTTCTCGACTTTTATAACTGAATGATTATTACTGGTTTGTTTGTGACACTTTAATGTTGCTTTCATACCACAACAAAGGCAGTTTTATATGAAAATGACATTTCAATGTGGTCTGGATTAATTTTACATGCTCTATCAATTTGTATAGTTATATTGTGGTTGGAAACATTGAAGGTAAAAGATCACGCAGTAGCTCACCAACTAGATGGACCGATCAGGTGAAACCCTCATCATCATCTAAATCAACCACCATTGTAAGAAATGCGCTGGACAGGTCATTCACACCAGAAGCAAAACACTGATACTGACCGCAATCCTCAGTCATGAGGGACCCACTAAAAGAGAGAAGTTATATTTCTCTAAAATTATAAAAGAAACCCGGCTATGCTTAATAATAAAAAACATTTTTGTTAGCGTTTTGCTGATTGCAAAAGCGTTTATCATGGAGTTGTTCGAAAAAATTAACATGTCGCAAAAAAAAATCCACTCAAGTGATTATTGAACCATAATCAATTATCATAAATAAAATATAATATATATAGATATTACTACGTTCCACATTGATTTATTAATATGATAATATAAACAATCTGAATTTCATTTTGTTTACAAATCCACAGTGATAAGTAATGTGGTGACATAATGTGTTGCTATCTTGTTAAAAGAAAATAATTAATAAATGTAGATTTGAGAGATTTCAATTTTAAATTATTATTTACATTATATAATCAACTATCCCTATTTTCATTATTTCAGTTAACTAATACTACTTTAGTCAGAATTTAATTATAACAATTTTAGTTACTTGTTCTTTTTGTAACAATGGTTTTTATATGCACTTTTTGTTTATATGTATATAGAAAAGAAAGCCCTACAAAGAGAGAGGAGTTAAATCCTGTAAAGAGCTGGAGAAGGGATCACAAACAAAAAAAGTGGTGTAACCATGAAGAAGACCTATGTTGCGAGAACATCCAGACCTGAAAACAACAACTGATGCACAGATTTATAATTAATAATTATGAATTTATTAACTGTTAACTAGTGTAATGTAATAAGCCTTTAAATGGTCAAAGAATAAAGGCTATATTACACAAGTACTTTGTTAATATAAATTCTAATAGGAATGATAAAATGCATACTTCTGTATTCCAATAAGACAAGATTGTTTCAGTTTTTTTACTCAAGTTTCTAATAGGAATGCCTGTATTTATTTTGTTCTAATAATATGATAGTAATAATATTACTTTTTTACTGGAATTACATAAAAGTGTTGACAAATGCGCTCTTGTTAATTGCAGCTACTTTTAATTACTCTTAACCTAAAATGAAGTTGATATTTCTGATCATGATATAATCAATGTTGTAATTAAACTTCAATCATAATTGACAAAATAAAAAAAACTAAAACATAGTCTAATAGGACTCTTACAAGTGAAAATAATAACAAAACATCATATCTATGACATCAGTAGAAAACCCAAAGTACAACTTCCAATTTTCCTTAGTGTCACACTTAAAAGTAACATAAAAAATCGGTATGAATTTGAGATTGAATGGTATGAAAGATTCTTTAGGATTTTGGATCAAGAATTTAAAATTAACATTCACATAATGGTACAAAACAACTGTGAGAAAACTCATTGAGTAGGTGACTCATCATCAGGGGATGTTATTTTAACAGTTTTGTGTTTTATAACCAGATAAGGAAAAACCCGAATACCTTTATTCTTACCCATAGTAGTGACGTTGTAATCAGCTTGAGTAAAATGAAGACTGCACACTTTTGAATATTTTGTATACGGTTTCCCTCGTTTCAGAATCAAATTCCATTTGTTGGCCATGGTAACGTCGCGGGGAAATCTGTGGAATTTTACGTTTTTCGTCTTGCCGGCGAGCGAAGTGCATTGTGGAACGGTGCAATAATAACCCATCTTTACTTCACAAAACCTTTGTTGTTTAACTTTTGGTTAGAAGCGGCGCCGAATCACCGCGTCCACACAAATTTCACATTAAAAAACAAATTTTCGAATAGTAGTGAGTGTCGAAAACTTGACTATTTGTTGCAATCGTTATCACGTTGCTAAAAAAATGGAATCATCACAGAACAGCCTTGAAAAATTTGACATTTATCACCTTTTTTTCCCTTCCCCACTTCCCACTTTTTCTGAAAAAATGGCCACTGACATACCATAGACAATTTTTTTTTTGTAGATTTAGGAAAGGAAAGGCGAAGGGAACTTAGCTCGCGTACCAAAGACAGTAGTAATTTGTTTCATCCATGGGATATGTATGAGCCATACTGTCAAATCTTGAGGAGGTAGGTATAATAATACATGTTTTTTGGTAGATTTTTCCGTAAAAGAAGGTGAAGGGAGCTTAGTCCATACAGCTATTAATTTTATGTCACTAGATGGCAGCACAAATTGTAGAATTTAAATGTCATTTCATGACGTTAGATCAAAGAGAATAGAATTGTCAGTGTTGTTTTGAATCTGATAACTCGGATTAATATCGAGTTGAAATTTAATTAGTTCGAATTACACAAACGCAACTCGAGTAATACCAACGAATCTTTGAATAACTTTCCTTTAATTTTTATAAAGGAAAAAGAAAACTAATGTAACGGAAGTGAGCATAGAGAAGGTATTTTAAAAGTTCAGAAGGAAATCGATAGAATTAATGCTGTGAAATTATCAAAAGTAGCATTTAGCTACGGTATATAATAATACCACCGTGAAATTGTTTTTTATAAATAACATACTTATGCCATAGCAGGTCTAGGCATTTTTCATTATAATATTTAACAAAAGTTCTGAAAACAATAAAAATAGCTAAATTAATTTTGTTGCTATTACTTGTTAGTTGAATTTACATCAACAAAACTACATCAAATCTCAATTATGTTTTTATATTATGTGTGGTGAATAAATGAATAGTAATAAATGAATAAAAATCCGTTTGTTATTTACATACTTACCCGATATTTATTAAATATAGAAGGTACTCGTACAAAATTACTACTACTATATGACTTCTGGTTAGAATGAAGTTTGTACAAAGTACAAGGTGCAAATAAGTTGTCCATTCGAAATTATTTTTTTTTTAATAAGATCAGTCATGAAATCTTATAGTCATAATTAAATTATCGTAATAAAAATTCAACAATCAACAAGAAACGACCGTTCGAATCGAATTGCTTTAAAAGGTTATAACATTAAAAATCAAAATCACAAGATATGTACAGTTATTATACTATCGCTACTGAACTTGCATATCGACGGCGAACGTCGAGCCAGGTGTTATGTTAATTCGTATTGTGGGTATGTGCTTTTTTGGTACAATAATATTGTCAATAATAGTTTGACTTCCTACTCAGGCCACTCTAGAAATAAGTTTTATTGAAATATATTATTTCTTAACTACCTAGAGTAGTCACGCTATCTTAAAAATCTCTGCGGTGATGTCGTGTGCGTCGGGTCGTTACGTTCCCTAAAGTATAGTTGAGTGAAGCGATGACTGGCTCATGCGTCTAGCTCGTCAACGGATGCTGCCAGTCGGGGTGAGTCTACACTGGACTACTTAGTTCGTCCATTTTTTTTTATTATGAATATTGTATATTGATTTGTCAATGAGTATGCATGACTTGGTAACCGGCATATTAATCAATAATCGAAAAATATATATCTTGTTATAGTAAGGGAAATAGACTTCATAATCTAATTAAGTAACATTCCAATAAGACTTCTTTGTGTGAAATAAAACAGAGAGAAAAAAGCAGCCCTTGCTGAGTTTCTTGCTGGTTCTTCTCAGTACAAAATCACCCCCCGTAATGTTGCGAACCATTGGCATAGTTTTCGACTTTCAACAGTACTAAGTAACAGCCTAGACAGAATTGATTTTGACATTTATATTAATATTATTCGACGTGTGGATGCATAATGACACATACAAATACAAATTGAATTGAATTCTGCTTTCTTCTTTTTATTCTTCATTCTTATCCTGAATTCGGATGAAAGTTATGAGCAATCAATGAGTTGGCACATCACTAACGTTGACGTGTAAACCAAACATCGTTCCTTTACATGATATGATATGATATTAATTAAAATGAATTTGAAAGTTAGCTATTATAAGAAACACGAAACATGTTAGTTGTGTTAGTTTCTTATCTTCACCGTACGACAGCATTTAGAGGCAGTTTTAAATTTCAATCCACCAAGTGTTGGAATGATATACCACCACCTCTGAGAGGTCTCACTTCTGTATCGACATTTAAATTAAAATTGAAGGCACACTTACTGGAATTACAAAAAATAATAATTTAACTTTAATATAATTATAGTAATTTACTACTTATGACATTATGAATTACAATCTGACATAACATTGAATATTAAAACCATCAAAAATGTTAATTCAAATTTGACATCATATTATCACGACACTAATTCTATTAGCCTGTATTATTTATTGATTTTATATATATTATTTACTTTCTGACATTATTATAACATCGACCACATTTCTATCTGACATGCTTCTGACATTACATTATGTTTGTTCTTTCGACTCTTTTTCTTTGATTTTGACCCTGCTCGTCTCAGCTGGGGTGATGGCTGAAAATCAGTGCTTCACCGACATTTCGGTGATTTCAATACACTAAGCCTAGACTCTTTCTCTCTGCTACACACAGGCACATGACTTATTCGTAGTTAATATCTTTTCTATAATGTCTTTATTTATTTTTATTCTCTGTATAATGTGGTTGTGTGTTGCATTTAGAATAAATTAATTATTTATTAATTTTCGATACTCAATTTACTTTTATTACGTCAGAAACAAAATTTGAATGAACATCATAGACAATATCCAAACATCGCGAGTGACATCTAGTATGATTTCATGAACTAATTTTTATTTTTTAAATACTTCCTCATTCCGTTTCCACCTCTAATGATTTACTTATATATGTATTAAATATTTCGTTTGTTCCTAGGTGTTCACCATGCATTTTCCCTAAACCATAAACCTATATCATAAAAAAATTATATTGTCTATGACGTTTTGTTATGTCGGCTTGGTTGTTAGTGTTTATCCGCGAGATTTTATTTATTTACGTAAGTTAACACGTATCAATTAAACATTAGTATTTAGCTATGTTAATTATTATTGTGTGGAATGTAATTAGCTAGCAAAATGCCTTACTATTGTACTGTGCCACGGTGTACATCCATGGCAGGAAAGGCGAAAAACGTATCTTTTCATCAATTTCCAAGAGACGAGGAGCTTGCTAAATTGTGGAATAAAATACTGAAACGTGGGAAACCTTATACTAAGTATTCTAAAGTCTGTAGTTTACATTTCAAACCAGAAGATTATACTATAACAAGCGTTGGAAAAAATAAAGGTAAATCTATGTTAATTTTTTTTTCAACCTCAGTAATTTAATATCATTTGATGTTATTTATTTCTCCACTATGCTCACCCAATAAATACACAATGAATAGAAGCAGAAGATATCTTTATACTTAGAATGAAATTTTAATAATATCTAACATGTGGGTCAAAACTTGCATTGCTTTGATTTGATGTGATCTTTCCAAAGGGCTCTACCATGATAATTATTGCCTTATAAATTCACAAAGCCTCATCTGTAAATATTTAAATGAAAAATGCTTATAAATCCACTTTGTCCCTGGTACTTTTATCTCCCATCACAGAGTACCAGGGACAAAGTGGATTTTTAATTTCAATCAACTAATCTATGGTAGTAAAAAGCATTGCAAATTTATTCACAATCCTCAATATGAATATGTCATTATAATATGAATTAATATTTATTGTTGTTAAAATGTTGACCCAGCACTGCATATTTCTCATGCTTGTCTGCAAACATATTGCTATCAGTAGCCACAATTCTTCCTGTTTGTAACCATGCTGTAAGTAGTAGTACCTAGATATAGATAAATAAAAAGTTTTTCAATATATCTGTAATAAAACTACTCTACTACTTGGGATGCTTACAGGATGCTTTGCATTAAGAATCACTACCCTAGTGTATCAGAAATATCTATTCTCCTTATAAATAATATATGAATTAATAATTCATATATGCTAAATAAATAAATCTTAACAGGTTAAAATTATTGATCAATTTAAATTTCTTTTTTCAGGACAGTGGAGGACATTACGCAAAGATGCGATACCATCACAAAACCTGCCATCGGATTCACCAGTGCCGTACCAAAGTCATAGGAATACTGGATCTTGGCATTCCGATAATACACCACCAAGCATAATAGATCCCCAGGTAGATACTGCATGGATAAAAAAGAAATGCTTTTCAAATTTTTTCCTATTAAAAAAGAGGACAAGCATGACATCATAGAAAAGTAATAATTTATACAATAACTAGCTCATTCGTTTTTATTTTATTTAGTCAGTTAAATAGAGAGACTAGCTTTTATTTTTATTAACGCTAATATTCCAATATTTCTATAGGTACACCAACAAATGGCCCAAGCAATATATTTGCAAACAATGTTAGCGATACAGGCAAGTGGCAGCGTTGAAGGGATCAATTCAAGTATCGGTAAGATGCTTTGCATTTGCTTTTAATAAAAATAAAAAAAAACATCAGTTTCCAATTATTATTTTATCAATACTCAAATAAATGTTTTAAATTTGAAAAATTTCTACCAGTAATCTTTCTTTAAACTAATGAGAATTTTAATGAAAGTTTGTGCAACAGACAGTCAGCTTGTAATAAAACCTGGGACCACAAAAATAGTAAAGTTATGACATTTTTTGCAGAGCCTCGAGAGACAGAAGAAGCACACTCGTCAAATAACACCCAAAAACATAGGAGTGTATCACCCCTAAATAACGAATCTAAATCCTCATACAGATGTTCGGAATGCTTAAAATATTTTAAAGATCCAGATGTATTCATATTACACCAGCGGACGCACACAAAGAATAATGAAAAGGAGAATCTTAATACCAACTCAGAAGAAACTAGTAATCCTATATCGGAAACTTTTCATACAAATGGTGAAGAGACATTAAAATCAAATCCAATATTAGCTAATCTATTAAAATCACAAGGTAACTCATCACTCAGTATACAAAATAACATTCTGAGTAAAGAAATAGAAAATCAAATCACGGCTGCATTTAAACTTAGCATGCAGACTTATATAAGGAATCTGTTATTATCACAGGGTATGAATGATAAATCAGATAAGGACTTGACTGAAGTTGAATCTGATTGTGATAAAGATTTAAGTGAAACACCTGACTCTAGTAAATTAGCTGTAGAAGATAATGCGTAATGTTTTACTCGGTTTAATTGGTTTAGAAGTTCTTTTGATATATCTATTTCTCATGTATTTTTTTAAATATTATGTATGTTTATTGTTTATGTGCCACTACAGATGTATAATTACACGGAAATTGTCAGCATGATCATACTACACAGTACTATCATTTTTATAAGTAGCATCGTTAAAATTCATCTATACAGACAAGAAAGATTAAGCAGATGGAACTGATACTCCAATGCTCAAGGGTGGATCCAGGGTCACAGGGTTCATAAAACTCCCACCTGGGCTAGGTCTAGGTGGACCTAGATAGACTACTAGTCCAATAAAATTGTAGTACATTATGTTTCATTTGTCTCAATTTAGATTTTATTTAAGTACTGTAAACATTTGATATGAGACTATTACTATCAAAATTAAATTCTTATGACTAGACTGCGGCTATGTCAAAGTTGGATCCGCCCTTGCCAATGCCCTTGAAATATAGTCTATACTGCCTTATGTTAAGGTTTACGCACCGTCGACATGTTACATTAATATGACGCACGCGTATTAAATAATATCAATGCAGGTAATGTAATAGCATAGTCGTCGAACAGAGTATTTCGTACAGTGATGCGGTACATCTCTTTCATTCGTATGCAAACTATTGCGCTCGCGCATATTTGTCATAGTAAAGTGTTTAGGATATCTATTAGTAGGCACAAAGATCGACGTACGAATTTCTTTCTGTTCGGAAACCTTGCTATACAATGTAACTTATACACTTTACATTTGAACTTGGTTGGAATTACACTGATAAGAAAAGTTTATACATACTATGGCATCGAGACATAAAGGCGACTAAGAATAGAACGTCACATTTCAATAATTTTGGCGCTACTGTTTTTTTATGGAATCAGAATTCCGTTTACCTTAAATTGGATCACAAATGTGTTCAGTGACATCACGTTATTTATGACATCACTGAATTGTGAAGTTGCACATCCGTGGGGATGATTCGTCGCGTAGCCCGTAAGACTAACTTGGTGGCGTATTAAATAAACGCCGCGGCCCGCGAACGTTGCTGCGAAGCAACATTCGCATGGGTCGTTCACGGGATGGGTGACCAAAACATTATTATCTCAAGCTATTCCGTGCGTCAGAAGGCACGTTGGTCCCGGCTGCATTTTAAATACCATCCAGTTCGCACTGATCGTCCTTAACCATCCTTATGGTAGGCCTATGCCCCTGCAGTGGGGTCGTAAAAAAGTCTGATGATGATTTTTCGTGTACTAACGCTTACTTCTGTGATACGCTCGACGGATCTTCCACCAGATTAACACCGACTCTTTATATCTGTGTCTATACAAATATAGTGTGTAATACATTTATAGAAATATTTAAAGATAATAAAGAGCTCTTAATATTAATCTGTATAATAATGTGATTATACTTTAAATTTGATAAAGAATTCGAAAAAATATTGTCTTGATGCCATTTTATTTAGGCATCTCTCTCGTTTCATATTATTTGGAAACAGAGTGAAAGCTTATAATAAACTGTGTTATTCAGTTTGCTGACATAATAAATCTGCTGTTATTATTTTTCTTATAAATTTTTGGCTGTAAATGCATAGGCTTTTTTTATAATTTTTGCCGTCCAACATTATTGTATAATAAAAATGGAATATTAAAATACGTAATATATATTTAAGTTGCGCATTATGTAAACCTCATTTCATCTTTGGATTTTCTTAGTGTTGGCAACACTATCAATTAAATGACACTTGCTGTTATACAAGAAAAACATACAGCCGTGAATTATCACTTGTGCTAAATATGGTATTTTATTTCTTGCTAATAATATTATATCCTGGTCATGCAAACACAGCTTATTGAAGCGTCAATATTTTTATTTACTATGTATAAATGTTCATGACTTTTTAATTTCTTATTTATAATTATCTTTCTGTCCTTACTGATAGAAAGAGATATAGATGCTATTAACAGTTTCTGTTAGTCTATGCTTCATTTGTATTTAGTTACGACTGCGGAAAAATGGATATAATAAATATTGTTAGAATTAGAACCGAATTATATTAAAGCGTTGACGTTTTATCGTATCGTAAAATTGATTATACATAAACTAAATTTCTATGTATACTACTGGACAAGATTTTCATTATTGAAATTGCAGTACATTCAAGCGCTGCAATATTTTGCAATGGCGGCCATGTTCATTACGTGTTATATAGTGAGTGTTTCGAGGCTAGCCGAGAAAATAGACCCTAAGTATTATATGAGTGTTGAAAGTAAACAAAGTGTATCGCTATCCATACAACTTTATCGTTTCCGAGGTGTGTTACCTATTGTTGTACGGGTTGGCGTCGGCGACCTATACGAAAACGATAATGCGGAAACGATACAGATGTATTGTTTACTGCCAAGACTTGTATAATACTTTGGGTCATTGTCCGTTTTATGCCTACCCTAGGATCAGAATATAGACGGATAATTTTTTTCTGAAGTAAAGAAAAAATATAATTATTTACCTAATTTCAAGAAACTTAAACAATTTTTCAATAGGCAATGAGCAATATTTTGTTATATATATAACAATATTGCATAAGAATATTCTTAATGTAAATATTTATATTTCGTCAGGATTAAATAATTATTAAAAAGTGCAAAATACGCTATAAATTCAACATACTCAAATACTCTAAAAAATAGGGATGTCGTTGTTACAAGAAGTTAACATCGATCCAAGAAAATTAATGTATATAGCAAAATAAACAACAGAATATAATTTAAATTATGTTTTAGATTTTTATTTTTATTCTACCAATTTGGTAAACTAAATGATAATTGAAAATCGGTTATATTAATAAAATCGATTAATTGTTAATGGATTTAGAGTAATTGAATGATATTTAGCAACTTTAAATTGATTTCGATTTAAAATGTCATATATCTAGTCGTAGACATTGACGTCACGACAAGAGCGCCAAAAATCCCGACGATTGAAGTGCTTGTTGCCTCGCGGTTGTTGCTTAGTTACATTATTTATTTTTATTACTAATTTAAAATTTTTAGACGTCGGGTTTTCTACAGTTATATAAAGATATAAATTTTCACAAATAATATTTAAAAAAATATGCAAATTCCCTGTTAAATACAACAATTTGTTGATATTTTTTCATCAATATGATATTCGTTTATCGATATAAACACGTGAAACACCATAGACTATAATAATATAGACATGACCTCAGTGGGCAATTTTTCAGTACCGCACAGTAGTATACATAGACGTCATCCTTTTATTACTTAAAACGATTTCGGGGGAAGGCGTATTTTTTGTGGGAAGTAAAAATCGGTTAAGTCTAGATTATTTCCTTCAAAAAAAGTGCGAAATAAAATTAACATAATAATAATAATCCAAATATGCAAGGGGATCGGTGATTCTAACATTATCTGAGGGTTCAAAACTGGTTAAAATCGTCTTATGTAATAAATCGATGAAACTATTTCATTTGAAATGAAAGCTTATACAAAACAAAAAATTAAAATAAATATCACATAATTAATTTTGCCATGCAAAATATGCTTGTTATTTTTAAAGAAACTTCTAGATCAATAAGATATATGTACCTTAAGATATAGATATTCATATTAAGACTGATTCGACTGGGAAAATTTGTTACTTAGATTTTTTTATAAAAAAAAATTAGAAGACTGCGAAATCTTTCTTCAAAAGACTGGTCCCCACCGATATAGTTCCGTATCATATTTGTTAAGGAACATAGTTTAGAAAAAATTACTAGCGCATCCGAACTGAGTGGTCGAGTAGATATCAATTCTGTAAATACATACTCTTCCTGTGTGTTTACATACAAAGTCAGCAGTCGGTTTGCTTTAAAAGGTCAAATTTCTGCAATGAATTTTAAACCTTAAGGAGCTGACGCTACCGAAATGCCTTGAGAAATATGACACGGCCATTTACATAATAAGTTCAAATTTGATTGCAGAAACTCGGCATGTTTTTAAAACCTGATATGCTATTGTATGTACCTTTAATTTTAATAATCATTAAAAATTTCTGGAAATAGAAATCTCAAAAATTATCTGTAGTATTATTTGACTCCTTATTTCTAGTAATACGCGATGTAGATTTCATCTCGTTTTCACCCTTAAAATTTTGAAATATATTTTCATAAATTATATTTTTATTTATTAAGCCAATTTTTCGCCAATCGACGTCTGCGTTAACTTTCATTTAGTATTAAATAGCAACTAATGGAGGTAGCCGTAGTCATATCTATAACCTACGCTTTATTGATGTTTCTCATAAATCTGTTTATATTCTTTTAAAATTAATTGTTTTTTTTATAATTTTTATATCTATCTTATCAAACATTTTGGATTGCTTTTCTTTTCGAAATAGCATTGTTTGTATCAATTCGACATTTTGTAAATTTCGTTTAACTTTAATAATTCAGTAAACTAAAACTATTGATTTTCAAACAATATCAGCAGATTTATGTGAAATACCTATAAAGCGTAAGTTACAGCTACGACTATGGCTACATCCATGAGTTAGGCGGCCGCGCTCCAGGGGTGACCCGCATTACAGACAGCCATGATTCTAGCAATAGAATACGACATCTTATCGATCTTATGGCGATATTTCGTCTCATTTTACTACTTTGGCAAGTATACAAAATAAAATTCGGAATATAATAAGAATCTTATCGTAACGAAATCTTTCAGTAGCCTTTTTAAAAACTGTTTAGAATTTGTAAATTGTAGCTTTCAATTGTTCCAGGCCCAGATCTACATTTTCCACCCGGGACAGAAACTTGCTATTAACCCCCTTTATATTTAGTTGATAAATTTCAAAGGGGTTTTTCAAAGTTGTCTGATACTATTTAATCTTTGTATAAAAACACAAGATAACCAATGTCACCTGTTATTCAATTGTGAGATATAATAAAATATCTTTGTTTCATCTCTTACGGCTCGGATTAA